TTAGGCTTTAGTACTGCATGTAGTATAGTAGATCTTTGAGTAATTGCTTTTGCGCTGTATTTGCTTTAGAATTTATAGTGTTTAAGGTGTTAACTGTCCAGTCACTGTTCTTAAGGCTTGTAGCTGTTTTAGCTGCTGAAAGCTTGCAATAAATAAGGACGTAGTTAGGTAGCTCTGAAGTGTTGTCCTTGATTTCCTGTGGATCTAAAATAAATCGAACCACCCCCCGAAAAACTTGCCAGCTGTCTACCCTGGCCGCTTGAATTTCCGCAAAAGCACTGACTTCCTACTGTCAGAAATCAGTGCTTCTTGCGGAAATACTGTGCTTCTCCTGTTCAGGCAAAGGTCCCTTTTGCGCAAAAGGGCCAGTGTAGACAGCTCAGATTTGTTTTCTGCAAAAAAGCCCCGATCGCTTTTGTGGAAAAGCACGTCTAGAGTGCCAATCTAGACGCTCTATTCCAAAAATGCTTTTTTCCGTTAAAAGCATTTCCGGAAAATCATGCCAATCTAGACACAGCCCTAGTGTGGTTACTGAGTACTGCAAGTGGCACCTAGACCCCTGCAACAGTTAATACCAAGAGACCTCTACAGCAGGGGCTGGGAGCCAGCTGGCTTTTAGCTCAGAGGGTAGAGGGTCCTATAGTCAGCTCCTGAGATCTCAGGTTCAACTGTGCCTTGGTGGTGTTTACACTTGAAATAAACAAGGAAGTGGTTAAGTAACCCTGAAGTGATCCTGGTTTCCTGTGGATCTAAAATAAATCGAACCACCCCCCAGCAGGGCACTAGGGGGCGCCGGCTGACCAGCCTGGCCTCGCTTCTAAGGTATTTCAGCCACCCCATTGCCAGCCAACGGGCCCATCTACCCTGGCGTCCCGCCTTCCAGGCAGGCTGCTTTGCTTTGCCAGGGCACTCTTGTGGCCACGAATGGGCCTGGCTGCCCCCAGAGGGAGTCTCCGACTGCCCCATTACAGGCGGGTCAGTGTCTGAGCAGGAGGGGGGAGTCACTGCCCCTGTGAACAGCCTC